GACCTTGTTCACGAGTTTTTGAGATGGTTCGAGCTCAAGACGGCGAGATCCGGCTTAAGAAAACGGTGGTTTTTAAACCTTGCGAGTTGACTCACTAAGTCAACTCACTGGGTTGACTCGGTCGATTTGACTCAGTGAGTTGACTCGGACGAGTTGACTCAGTGAGTTGACTCGGACGAGTTGACTCAGTGAGTTGACTCGGACGAGTTGACTCACTGAGTTAACTCGGTGGTTTTTTTTTTTTTTTACTCGGCGACTCAGCGACTCGACGACTTAGTAAAAAGGCTAGCTTTGTGGAGCGACACTGACTCATATCGTTGTTGTTTGGTGTGCAGCGGAGTTGCTTCGTTGAACTCTTCAGTAGAGATGTNGGATAATGCGAGAAAACCATCTGCTCGTGAGAGGAGAGCTGCCGAAGCCAGGACATAATCGAGCGCGAGAGTGACTCAGCGAGCTAGACCGTCGACGCCTGTCCCCAGAGCTGGCACTACTGGAACCCTTGCACCTAGGTCGCGTCGTCCTGAGTTAGAGCGAAATATTNTNATCACCGATCGTCGATCTGAGTCATCGCACATGCATCATGATGACATGAGGGNAAGGGATGATCACGCGGGGGCAAGTCGTATGCGTTCGCGAGAAGAGAAGGAGAAAGGCAGTGCTGACAAAGAGGACTTGAACATATCGAGGCACGCTTCAACTCCTCATCGTGATCGTGTGGTGACGACTTTCACTATTCCTTTTGGAACGAAGGAGTCCTTTGGTGATGCTGCGTGGGCGGCGTCGCATTTGTCCCAGATTGTCTTCCTAGGCACTAAGTTTCCCCCTCCAGGAGAGATGTCGAAGAAGAGATCTTACTCAAGTATGGCCTTCGATTGTATGACGGTATGATTTCGTGGCAACTCTTGTGGGATAGCGATTTACCTTTTCCTTCTTCCTGATCTTCTAACTTGTTTTCCGTGATCTGTTTCTCGGTTAACAAGCTCGCGATTGACTATGAGGTGACTGTTCGCTCGCTGACTCGTCAGTTTGCAAATGTTCAGAAGGCTTGCGACGATCATAAGAAGCAGAAAAGGGATGCAGAGGATCGTGTTGCTACTCTCCAAGCTGTTATAAAGGAAACCGAAGATAGGCATCGCGAGATGGATGGAACGTTCACGGAGTCTGAATCCGAGAGAAAGCGTCTTCAGAAGGAAGTCTGTGACCTTACCACCCGATTAGATGTTGCTGCCAAGCTTTAAGATACGGCTGTACAGCGGGCTGTAGAAGAAGCGAAGCGTGAGCTGGCGGCAAGGTACGAGGCGAAGATCGATCGCGCTAAAGAGAAGATCAAAATGATTAATGACCAGCCGAGGATCGATATAATTGATCTTGCTGAAGTCCGGAGTAACATTGAGTTCATAAAGCTGCTTCAGAGTGACTAGGCGCCTGATCTCGGTGAAGAGCTCGTTGACCTTTTGAAGCAAGAGGCAGACCTATCGCTCGCAGATGGGGTATTTGCTAAGCATGTGCGCGAACTTGGAGGGATCCTTAAGGATTTGCCTGCTGGCACGACTGATGATCGAGTTGTGGACTCGAACGCTGATGCCGTTGAAGAGGTGGTTGACTCAGATTCGAGTTCTTCGTGTTCGTCAAGCGATAATAACTCGTCAAACTCTGCGGCGGCGATTCCTTCTGAGCAAGCCNTTGAGATTGTCGATGACGTTGAGGAGATCGAGCCTTAGTTGATTTTTATTTTAGCACTTTGTCGTACTTTTGATTTCAGACTTAG